CGATATCGGATAATTTTTTCCCCGAGGTAAAACAGTTCCAAACAAAAAAGGGTCATTTCAATCTTTGTGTCATTTCCTTCATTATAATAACGATATTTATATGGAAGTAATCGATAATCAGACCCCAAAAGACGTCTCAACTTTTTCGTAAGTCAAATCGGTAACCTAGCAAGAATTTTTACAATCTCCTTTAAAGTATTAAAAAAATTTATACTCGAATATATAGTAAGACATGATAGAAAATAGATCACTTTAATAAAGCAGATAGTGTAAGAAGTTGCTAAAACCGGGAATGAGTATCAAATAGAGAGCATCTCAGAGGCTATAGTTCGACTTGAAATAGAAGGTAAATCTAAATATTAAGACAAAGTTAGAAGGAATGGGAATTTCTTGGTTAAATAACTCTTAGTGACAGTTATTTGTGAAGTGGATCAATTTATTCATATAAATATAACTAAGATTGTTAATCAGACCGAACAATTATAATCAAGGGATATTGCGAGGCTCCACGCCTGTTCTTCTATATATTTTTCGAAGGTCTATGTACAATCGTTTCATCTCTTGCTGAAATTCAGACTGATCTATACTGCATATAATTATAAAATTTGTAGCTCACTATTTTTTGTTGCAACTAATTGCCTCGTAAAATAGATCCCGGCAAATTATAATACTGGCCCAACTGTAATACTTAGCGCAATTATTATATTCTACAAACTATTTATAAATGCAAGTAACGCACTGTCCCAGGATTCAAAGCAATATTTTGAGTGCAGTTTATCGTTAGTTAGAGCTGGTATAATAGTGTCAGTCTCAACATTATTAAGTTCATTATCATTTGGGTCCCCTTTATGTATTCTAATTAATTAAACATCATCAAATACCAAGACCCAATGGACCTGTAATTTCTTTTGAGGGTAAAATGCAAAACTCTAGGGATTCGTACTTAGAAAAGTAGTGACCCATAGATGGAGAGATCGAAAGGAGAGCCGGCACAAGGGTAGTTGGAATAAATTTACTAAAAGATTAAAATATTTAAACTAAAAGCTTGCCTCAGCATTGAATTTAGCTGATAGAGCCAGATTTACGGGCTTCTATTTATATCTTTCAGTAAGCTTTATTAAATGAAATATTAATTTGATAATTAAATGGTAAATATTTTCATTAGAGCATTTAGAATTTAAGATTGTTGAAAATATATCATTGTAACTATGGCTAAAATATTTATTACAATTAACTGGAAATAAATTAAATAGTACTACTATAGTAGTTAATAATGCCAGTTACAAACGTCCAGTTTAAGTATAATTTCAAACATGTTAAAATAATAAAATATTATCTATGCACTTACTGATAAGCATATTCTAAAATATATTGATAAAACTGGGCTGTATTAGTTAGAAAGAAATAATCAAAGTCTGTATCTTATGGCTTTTGGCTATTCTCACATGTTGTTGAGTTTACTTTTATTTCGAACGAAAGTGTTTGGTGAAGAGATTCTACCAGAAGACGACGGCGGATTCTTCTTTACCAGCTGTCGATTGGCTTTAGTGTAAAATTCCTGTTGATGCTGATTCCAAGGTAATCTCCTTCAAAACCGGTGAAAAAGTGCTATGCTAAGAAAGTGGGAAGAAGAAAATGCATTCTAAAGAACCTTCGAATTACGGCCTGCCAAAAATACACAAGGAGGGATCCCCTTTAAGATTTATTTAAAACATCATGAGAAGTGTAAATAATAAGATTTCACGTTTATTATGCAGACATTTAAGAAAAGTGGCTAAGCATTGAAAATATTCGGTGAATAATTCATATGTAGTTGTTAGATTGATAGATCAATAGATTATTAAAGAGGTAAATATTTTGGTTAGTTCTGATGTGGTATCGATGTATACTGACATCCCAGTCTGCTATCTCCCTGATTGAACTAGTTCACTCGACCTATCTGTACTAATATAGGCGTTATTTTCCACACTCTGCCTCTGGAAAACCAACTTAAGGCTAAAGCGCTTATGTAATTCTCATGATCAAACCTTTGCCTTATGGACCACATCTATGGTAAAACAGGCCTACTGTCAGCCAACTAGCTCTAGTCTGGCCAGCGTCTATCCTGTTTCTATCCGTAATACCAAGTCGATGACTTTCTACGCCCTTGTCTCTTGTGTGCCAACCCACAAATGCTGTGGTTCAACATGCAATCTAATCAAAGCAAGCAGTAACACAACATTTGTGGGTTAGCTTACGAGATACTGGGGCATAGGAAGTCATTAACTTGGTATTATGAATAGAAACAAGACAGACGTGGCGGAGATTGTAGCTAGTTGGATGACAGTAGGCCGGCGAAACGTCTGGGTATATACCACATCCATGGTCCGACTCCGGATCATACATACTATGGACTCTGGATAAAATGTATTTCCCTTGATCTTTCTGAAAATATGATAAAGTTGCGAAAGCAAGTTCAAACAACTTCTATACAACAAAAGGATTATAGACAACGCATAAAGCCACCCCATCTTGTTCTTTATACCTTTGATTACTCTATAATAAGGAAAGTTTAGATAATTTTTTGTTCTTAATTAACCAGGTTGACTGCAATGTTAAGTTGACAATGGAGATGGAGAAGAACAATAATTTACAATTTTTAGATGTTTTAGTGATCAGAGCAGGTTAGAAGTTAAGCAAGGGTGTATGTAGAAAGCCAACGCATGCTGCTTCATTCTTAATTTATTCTCTAATCATAGTTACCAAAAGAAGTTAGGGTTTTAACATCTATGAATATTCAGAGCATAAAACTAGATCAGCCAGCCAACGTACGCATTCACGACTGACTATAACTTTAGGATTAGATGAAATTATTTACTTAAGAGACAAGAAGAATATGCTTTACGCAGTTCGGGAATGAAGAAAGGAAACAATTCACATTCACATCAGTTGTTCCAAATCAAGCCAGATCAAGGGCCTCAGACCATAAGGGAGAATCAGTTGAGGATTAGAGAAAGGTTAAGTGGGTAAGGGTTCTGAAGCTTTAGTATAAGGAAAATGCCTAGGCATGAGAGTCACAGGTCGTAACTCCTTGAATATAATGTAGGCATGGTCGAGAATATAAGTTTAATAGGCAACCAGAATTCAGACAGTCAGAGGGTTATTTTTATACGCAGCAGGGACAAACTGAAAAGCAGGTTGAAAAGAGGTCTAAATAAAAAGTCAGATGTCATGACCAAGAAGCAATACAAATGGCATCTGAAACCGATGGTGAAAGTGATTGCGCTTTACTAACTTCACTTGTAGCGACATTGGAGGAAGACTAAAGGCACGGAGTGATGTCATAAGGTTTGGAAAGAAAAATGGTTAAGGAGATGGCCTTTACTCGTCATTATGATAAGGTATAATTGTGCTAACGATGGTGCCCCCGACCGATGATGCTGGTAAAAACGGCTAAGAATATACTAAGTCAAAAGTCCGATGCTAAAAATCACTTATAATATGGCAGAGGAGACAGGACTAGATACGTTCCAGAAGGTCTCCATGTTACCCGACCAATTTGCGAGAGCAAGCTCAAACTAAACTAACAGCTAAAGGAGACTGCGACCAAGCGAAAGACCGCGCTATCTTGGTCTTCATATATAATTATTGAATTATGCTTGACATTTTGATGGAGAGTAATGTGCCTTAATATTCTGTTATTAATTATTCTGGCTTTAAAAGTAATTTTAGATCAATATACAGAGGTTGTAGTAGGGATAAATTTAGCACAAGAGGTACAAAATTAATAATCAAATGACAATACCTTACTATACCGTTTTATTATACGGGCAAACACAAGGTTTGGGTACGGGAATTTACTTTTTTATAACTTAATTAAATTACTACATGGTGGAATTTGAGGTTCTTTTAATTCAAATAAGCCTTTAAGATCCTTACTTATGAGTGAAGTATATGAAGGAGCATGCTCTTATTCCGTTAAATTGCAAAGATTGCCTGATAGAGGCTAATAAGTTACATATTTGAATGGAGTAAACGACTGTATTCACTATGTAAATAAAAGTGTATGGTAGGTTACAATTTTGATTGCTCTTGTTTGTTTTAGAGACAATACAGTTTGTAAGAATGTGTGCGGCCGAACATAAATATAGATGTCATAATAGCTTCTTTTATAATTATATTTATGAAAGTTAATTAATTTTTTCAAGTTGTGATAGTAATGTGCTTAGACGAGAAGAATTACCTGGACGAGAAGCTGAGAAGGTTAGGGAAACTTTTTATTTGGTCCAATAATAAGCATTTTACGATACTAAGAAATAAGATGACGGAAGTGGCTATTTGGAATCAGAGAGATATATAAAGATGTGCAGTTTTAGGCTGTCGAGTAATTAATTTGAACTATTAAGGTGTACAGGAATTAATTTATAGTATAGAGTAATAGGAATCTTTTCCTGTAGTGTATCCTCATTCTGAGATATTTCTTAATATTACATACTTTATGTCTCGAAAACCTTCTTATAAATGGTAAATAAATAGAAAAGATTACCATCCCAAATAATATATGTGGGACTTGGAAAGCAAGTTGGAATAATCCATAACTATTAAGCTGAGTGAAGTATATTGTATGGTTTAAACAAACGATTACCAAAAGAAGACTTAATCAGTATGGAATCTGGTCAGAAGCTTATCATCTTCATTCATACATGAGCACATCATGCAGTCATCAGAAGTATAATTAGATTCATAAAAGAGCATCCAAGTAATACGATCAACTTTGCCCAGATTTAGGCAACTATAAAGTTGTTCAACAATACTCACACCATATTCGCTCAATTGCAAGCAAGTATGTGGAAGCAGGAAGGGGGTAAGCGAATTAAGAAAAGCTTATATGAGATTTAAAAAATATTATTTTATAAAACTTTGGAAGGATTAAGCTTATGAATTTTATGAATTTTGCTTAATAATATATGAAAAAAGTTGGGTTTTAATATGATATGACTTTTTATTTCAAAGGAATTTTTAATTGCAATGAATTCCTTAATTGGTCTCACTAAGAAGTGAAAACTGCTTAATTGTGTGAAGAAGTATCTTGCTTACCTATTTGCAACTCTGATAAAACTGTGCCAGTTTTTCGTCTCTCACGTGATAGAGATGCACTTAGAAAAAAAAACTTACAAAAATCACGTTAAATAAAATATATAAAAAATAAAGGTAGCTTAATGCAATTACACTCACTAAGTAAGCATAAATTTTCAATCACAAAGAGGTAAACCATGGTTTGGTTTTCTATTTGATGTATAATATACATTATTGTAAATGGGTGAGATTGACGTATGATAAGGAAATTGATATTTCCCAGCTGTTTTCTAAACTTAATAATTTAGAGTCTTTTGTTGTAAATGCTGTTGCATTTTGCTCATAAGCAATGTCCAATTCATGTGAAATATGCAGGTTCCTAATCAAACTAAAACGTTTGTATAGAAGTTGTTTGACCTTGCTTTCGCAACTTGGTCATATTGGTAGGAAGACTTGGAGAAACGCATCTTGTCCAAAGTCCATTGTATGCATAATCATTTCCAAAGTTAAACCGTGCTCGTGGTACATTCCCAGACATTTCGCCGACATCGTATTCGGCATCGTTAGGGAGTATTACCATTCGTAGTACCATATTACTACTGGTCAAAGAGACAAGTGAAGCCAATACTTAACCAAACGTATGCTAAAAAGTTGGGGTATCTACCCTTCTGCCCTAGCCCATTCACATTTCCTATATCCTCCTATCACGCATTACCAGTCACAATGTATTACTTGCTTAAGTAAATGTGGTACGGTGTGACATTTTAAGCGTCTTTATAAGAAACCTCCGCACTCCACACTGGCCTTCTCACCCTCCTTCATCCTTGTGCTGGAAATGTTTATCAGAGTCTGCCATATTGTTACGCTGTCCTACATCCATATGTCTTACCACAGTCTCTCTCTTGCCCCTTAAGATCCGTCTGCCCTCTCCCCGGTTCACATATTTCACTCGAGCCCTGCCACCTTAACTGTGCCACTCGAAACGTTATTGGCCCTATTCTGCGTCTGA